ATTAGGTATTTATAAAACAACAGAGGACAAGTTAGAATTGGAAGAGAATTACAATATAATGTGAGGGCATAAGTGCTTGGAGAGCAAACACCAGCCGGGCCAGAACCCAGAGTCAATTGTTTACACACGACTTTCAAATAGCGCATTACGGATATGGAAAAAGTGAAGTCGCAGTGAATATAAATAGCCAACCCTTCACTTATTCATGAGGTACAAAGCAAATTCAATTCGAGTTAAAAACGGTAGCGAACTTTCGTGGCCATTACAGGTCCTAACAAAGCCTATTGGCGCAATCATAACCAATACGCTCTCGGAGTGGATATCCTTGTTAATTTGTATTTAACATATTTGCGCAGTCCAAACGTTCGTATTTTTATATTTTTCACTTGATTTATTGTTAATAATATTTTAGAAGTAGTAGTCGTAGAATGGAATAATTCGTACATAGATGATCTCAATTAGACAAAAGCCTGTATTTCACATTGTGGACATTTATGATGGATTGTCGGAAAACTGAGACATCGATGATTTTGATAGGTACATAGTTTCACTTTTCGATACCTGGTCGTCCAATAATTAGCAATTACCTAACCAACTAACACAAGTCCTAGATTTGAAAGCTGTGTAGCGCCCCGATTCTTCGCAGAACTTGCAAGAAGTCATAGTATTCCGACAGAAGATATGTTACTAATGTACACGAGAGGTAAGGCTATTAGTGTTGTCTAGAGACCATGCCGTCTAGCCGAAATACAGTTTTTAGAAACTTCAGTGTCCACTGCATAGCCCTTCTTTACTCTCCTTGGTGTGCCTTCCTCGTCAGCCATCATAGTGTATATGGTATTTAAAAAACACCCACGAACAAGTTACTTTAGTCATCGAATTCGCGTACTACTGAAAAGATGCTTAATCCTAACAACACCTATCCATCCTGACGATTCCACCCTAATTGGAATTTCGATGTGCTTTGTACCTGCATCTGGAGAGGAATTAGCAGCCTTCATGCTGCTGGAGATTGGCTAATGTTGCATATCTTGCATCTCCATCGATAGGTGCAAGGCGAATTTAAATTTGCTTTATGGAGATAGAGGTTCCCATAAATTCTTCTCTGCCACTTTGTTCACGCTTCACAGCTGACTAGTCATGTATCTATTCACATCTCATACGGCTAGTAGTGAGGAGGCGGTATCGCATGGTAAATTAGTCGACATTTTCATATAGCTACTGTAAAGAGCTTTTTTAGATGGTTCACGGCCGATGTCACTTTGGTTGCTAGTAATATTCCTACAGAATATAAAACTGGGGTATTTACCAAAGGTAGAAGCCATTTTTGACCCCTCTGTTAGGTGTCTTCACAGATTCGCCCATCAAAACCGGGTGTTCTTCTTTACCAATTTAAACTTAAATTCAGGTAGTTGTCCTATAGGAATGGGTTTTGCTTACTGCTGCCACCAATATAGCGTCCCTGGTCTTCCCTAATGTCGTAAGGAAGCATATTGGCATGGCAGAAGAGATAATAATGACCTACAGAAGAGCCGAGAGGCTACCACCCTGGCCCGAAAGCCATACCACCGAGCGAAAGTAGAATCTGCGGTGATCTAAGTGTCCGTGTGATCAAACGCAGAGTTGAGCAAAGTGTAAGAGCATTACACATGTACCAAGATTAGCACAAATTTCTTGAGTATAACTTGCAACACACTATTGAGGGGCGATAGGCTACGTTCATATGTGATTTAATTGTGTTAACAAAAACAGATTACGAATATATCACCGCTTGTTTTGTTCGGGAAAATTAAATCAATTTGCAAAACTAACAAACAAGAGCATTTACAAAACGCTTATATTTTGATTTCGCTAATCATTTTTGTCGTTTTTGTACTAACCTATTCAAATACGTGGCATTGTAATGTCATCTTTTATAAAATCTAGCGCGTTGTAGGGCAGAGGTCCCAAAATGGACCTGATTAACCCTCGTACAATATTAATGCCAAGTATAGTCTCCTACTTGCGAGGCCACCTGTTTCTGCCTCACCGTAATTAAATGGCATGGTCAGTCATGCTGCTAAATGAACCTCAGAGAAAAATCTGATCCTGAACCTCAATGTGTCAAGATTGATTGGCTCGCTGCACATGATCTCGAATTGACTTTGGTAAACCACAAAAGTGAAAACCTCCGATACGGCAGACCCTCATCAGCTACAGAAATGGTAATCCATATTTGTGGATTAATTAAACCAAAAGTTAAGTTAAGGAACGATAAGAAGAATTTCTTGATGAAGCCTTGCAGCTATGAGGGTGAGAAATATTCGGGTCTAGGGAGCTTTGGAACTGAGGAGGAAGTGATGTACGGATGCACATGAACGGTAATTCACATAGCAGATAACGAGTAACTTAGTCGATTTCGGGAACATCCTTTCCCCTCCGAGTTCTTTCTGGTGTTGAACACGCGATTACAATCTACTGATCGCTATCACAGGAAATTGCGGCTACCTCTCCTCCAGGTATCGTACACTTCTTCTATGTTTTATTTATTCCATAAATTTTCGGCACTAAAATATTTTAATTCAGCACTTACTAAATTTGAAGTTCTCTCAATACGAAAAGGTACCTTTCTTAAAGATAAAAATAGTGTTATACATGTGACAGATGGATACCAGAGTCATAGATCCAATGTTAGAAGCAATGCACAAGATAAATCTGATGGGTGAAACGCCATTTCGTTCCCCGTGATATTAAAAATAAGGGGGTCTGTTTACCCGTGAAAAATTTTTATAATGATAATTCACTTTCCCGTCGAAAGTTTTACAAATTTCATAAAAGCATACGGTAGTAGAGGTTTATTTGAAACTGTGAGAAATTCTCTAATTTACCACTAGATTCTGGGATGTAACCACACCAGTGTAGGAAATAAATATCACCCAATATTACGTCAAGAGCTCAACCACATGCTTCTGTCGAAGCAATCTACGAGATGGGACATCTTTCTGTAAATGTAGTCAAATAAATTTTTTGAAGTGCTACTTGACCACCCATTGATGTGTTTGGACCGCTGAGTGGTTGCATCTCCCGCCTGGTGGTACACAACACTATGAAGTGGATGAAGTTGTGGGGGTCACAGCTATCTGGTCTAGCTGAGCCTTGCTGCATAAAGCGCCGCCTTTATGCTTAGGGATCCCCCGTAGACTATGCTTTTGCCTTGCATGTACTTGCAACACGAGGTACTTTTAAAACAAGCAAATAACGTCCAGGAATAGACAACAAATATCACAAACGGGTTGCTTGGGCAACGCTTTTTCCCTTCATGCACACGAATGATACTTCTCAGGATCGATGACCTATTATCCTAAAATATGATAAAGGAGTTTTCTAAAATGTAAGAAATTGCAAGATGAGGGAGGACGAATAGTTTTTTGCTAGAATGGCTAAACTCATGGTAAGGAGTAGGAGCTAAGGTACGCACATATTTTACGGAAACTCTTACTTAAAATGCCGCTAGATAAATTTAAATTTGAAATAGGCTTATAGTTACGAAAATGCAGTAATATAGGCTCTGAACCTGTAGGTGAAGATAGGGTGGGCTGGAGAATAGCTGCTGCAAAAGTTCGCTTCACCTGTGCGTTATTCCGAATCATACTAATGCCAAGTAGTCAGGTATCAGTGGAAAAATGTCGCATTTTAAGCACCAACAACTCATCGAATAAGAAAGCATTGGTGGGAAAGTGATAATAAAGGAGCACTTTAAATTGCAACTTTGGTGGCACATTTGAATTGACCGCTACTTTAGAAACAAGTATGATAAAACACATTTTCACAGAAGCCAAGCAATCTATAAAATAAAAAGTAAGAAATGGATTTGTAAAAACATTGTTGCAATGCAAAACTAAAACGATGCAATGTTAGTAAACTCCTTTGATTAAGCACTGAATACGCCAGAAAGAATTGTATTAACACCACAACGAATAAAGGACTATGAAAAGTCTGCAGCCAGGCAACCGTTACCACTAGAGACTGATAAATAGACCCCTAAGGAAATAAAAGCCAAATATATAAACGCCAGCTTGGTCAGAATGGCAAAATTGCAGTACAATGCACCCAGTGGTAAGCATAGTGGCGGTGGCTGTGTCCACCTTCTTCCTCATCCTCGCGCTAGCCATTCCTAAGTGGCCCTGCGGGGGCAACATCTTCGACTTATGCAGTAAGATTGGAGGCGCGTTGGGAGACCACTACCTGGCCATCGGCGTGCTCCTTATCATAGCGGTGTTGCTGCTCTTCGTGGTGCTCGTCATCCTCCTAGTAGTAATGTTCGTATCCTTGCCCCCTTGGGTCAATATTATCGCCGCTGTCATTTCCGCCATCGCATCAATCTTCGCAATCGCAGCGGTCCTCCTTTACACTGATAAGGCCAGTGTCTCGTGGAGCCCCTTCATGGCCATTGTCGGCACCACTCTGGGCATCCAGTTCACCGTCATGCTCATCCTCGCCCTCATTTTCAAGTAGATCTCACCGCCACCGTAAACGAGTCATCACTCCGACTAAGTGGCTCAGCTACCCAACTCGAAAGTGCACCTTCTCTGCTCTCCTTAAATAAATTTTAAGAATATTGCATCTGCCTTTTACCGATTTAAAACAAGTAAAATTGAGGCATTTTAAAGCATTACCCTTTTTAAAGTTGGATTATGTTGTGTCAAAGGTGGATCCAGCGAAAGATCAGTATCTATGTTTTTAATGTGAAGGAATTATCTGATTAAAGTGGAAATATTTTGAATAAAATTAATCCAGTTCCTTATTTTGCTAGGTCAAATGGAAACAGGGAAGCTTGAAGAGAAGCTGATTGCGATCCAATTGGAAGTCTCTCCGCACTTTGTTATGGTTCATGAACTATTGAAACAACGGATGGCATGAATTAGCATATGTTGCAACGCCTTCTTCCAAGGTCCAGGGCACAGGAACAAGGATTTTAGCAATTTTGTAGCGGCACCACTAATAGTCTTATCAGATCCTCTGAACTGAATTGGTTTTGGGGAAACCATACATAACAGTGGCCGTGACCACTTAACCGCAGGGGATATATGGTGCTAAATGATGAATTTTTAATCTATGGTATATTCCTTTCGTAAAAAAAGCTATGCTACGCCTCGTATGCGCCAAAACAAAGTAAGCTCTCATCGGAATCCCTAATTGCCATTTTGCCTACTTAAGTGGATAGTTACAACCTAAGATATCCAGTTATTAGAATTAGGTTGCATAAGATCGTAAACCCATTGCGTCATAACACATCCATTCCCTACTTCATTAATAAAATTTCTATCCTTTATTAATTTCACCATTTCGATGGACCGCGAGCGAAGGAAAGGCTGAAATTAATCACTCATTAAGAGACATTTATGGGAACTGTGGATTTCGCAACTGCTCCAGAAAATTGATTAGTGGATAAGGGCTTCAAGTACCAGTCAGTCCATGAACCACACTTTAGTGGTAAAGAGAATTGCTGAATGAAACAAATGAGAGGTCATTAGTCACCTGAAATGGACTTGGTGCTATTGCTTATTCTTGACAAATTTAAATGACTTATCCCTTTTAGAAGAGCGAGTTATAAATTAATACAAGAAGGGCTGAAAGGATTCCAAATGTAAAATAGTGTGCAAATTGCTCACTGAGAAATTCTTTTGGAGTGCAGAGAAAAGAAAATTAATATTCATGTTAGGCGTTATAATATGAAGAAGAAGGATAGTAACAAAAGACTCCTGTCAGATAACGCAAAGCGCTAACTTACGGCGAGGCGTGTGAAAGTCACACGTTTGGCAAGAGGTCAGACTGGTGAGCTCATGATGCATCGCTGAGTTCGCAGTGCATCCAATAGGACTTGAAGCAGCTGCGTGCGTGTGCGCCTGGAGAGTTACTGCCTAATGATTGCTCAGGCACAATAATGCTGCACGCACTGTAGCCACTGGCAACGGGCACACATGCACCCGGGCTATAAAAGTGGCACCGCCTTGGTTGCACAGCTCATTCTCTCCCTTCAAAATGGGTCAACAGATGTCGCTCACCACTTCGACCCCAATTCAGCGACGACACATTACGTTTGGAGTGATTTTAGCTTTCTTCAGCATTGCTCTCATTATAGCCGAGGTCAAGCGCCCGAGCTCCTCCTATGTGGGATATTGGGTGGGTGCAATTGGGATCCTACCTTCCATATTCGCAATCGTCTGTGGTGTCAAAACCACACGACCCCTCCTCATAGTCTCATGTTTTAGTGATTTTATCGCCTCCTGTACTTGTGTAGCTGGTGCTATCCTCTCTCTGGTATTTTTCTCAATCCACGTCTACGCAGTCGGATGGCTCTCAGTGATTCTCACAACATTCCTTCTCTACCACGCTTTCACTATCTTTGGTGAGCTTAACATCTGTTGCAGAGTGGTGATTTTTGGGATACCAGATGAAGTGTCAGATATCACTAGTCACCACAATCACGGACGCGACCTTCCCGCCCCACCAATCGGTTTTTTCATGCCTGACGAAGTACCAAAACCGCCCAACTACGACCAGCTGTCCGTCCGGGGTGACCCACCAGCCTACACCGAAGCCTGTTCACAGAGATCCTTTGTGACCCCAACTCCACCACCACCGCCAACTCCACCACGTCCTACCCCATCACTGTACTCAGTCGATCGTCGAAGAAACAGATCTCTGTCAGCGATTAGAATCCCAATGAGTGTCAGGGCGGAACATAGGCATCGGTCGCATCCAAGTTCGCAATCTAGGTTGGATCAACGTAATCAAGAGCATTTTTAAGGGAGCTAAGATCTCACAATGGAGTGCTATTTGCATCGGGATGAAAAGAAGGAATTGAAGAATGAGGAGCAGTAAAAAGACATGCATTTACCACAAAAGTATGGCTTTATACAGACACGACCTTATATTACATGCCTTTTATGCAAATTTTATTAAAGGGTAAATGAATGAATACAAAGTTTTGTGTCGACGAAAATTTCTGTTTATTCCATCTGTTAAACGAGCCCGTGTTGGTTTTTGCATTCGGTCTCATTAAATCACGAATACCGAAAAGACAAACCTGGCATCTCGATTAGGCCCGAAAAAATTCTATTGTGAGTTACATATCAGGTTGATCGCATGAACTTGGCATTAAGACGGATGAACTGCACGAAGTCCAACACAAGTATTAATATTTTGCAGAGACATTTCATTGCTCAATATTGCGGCTTTTGCCACGAATGCTTCTGAATAATTGTGATTCTTCAGTCATGTGCTTTCGCTGCTAGGTGGCATATAAACAATTCATGAAAACCACCACATTGACGGAGAACGGATAAATCTGGCATGACTGACATTTCAGAGTGGGTTTAAAACCCTAATTTATGCAGCAGCAAAGATGGGTTGAATGCGCATAATGCCGGGAGTCGATGGTTTTCGATCAGTGCACGTATTCAAAGCAGACGACTACCTGGATTTCAGACGTTGAAGTGCATTCGATACTTTAAAGAAACGAAAATTTACACAGTTTCAACAACAAATTTCCCGGAACGCCTTCTTCTACACCCTTGGGATAAAAAAGGGGATTTAAATCATCGTGCATGAGGAATAAATATTTCAAGTGATATAAATAAATTTCTTAAATGGTTTAGGATTGGCAGATAATAAAAAATTGCATCTACTGACAGAGGAGGAACTCATTAAGTTGCCTAAATCATGGAAAACTCCATTTTATGGTTTTTATAGAGGTATAGAAAATCTGTGCCTCGTGGTTTACGCGTACTGTTTATTAATCCATTCAGCGCTTTGACTATTTAAAATTGATGAGGGCTGATGTTCCACTTCCTGTATCAAAAAAGGGTTTTAATGAATATTGCCTTCAGTACAGCAGAAATTAAAATGCAGCCCTAAAGAATCTCGTCCTGAGGCGCAAAATGCTGTGATCATGCACGGAGGTGACCTTTGACTAGGGTCATGACAAACCGGTGTGCTCTTAACTCAGAAAAAGAATGCATCGCGGATAACAGAAGGCAGATTTTTGGCATCTCCAGCGCAAATTTGGAGTTCGTATGGAACCTTTCATGAAATGCAGACGGTTAAAAATACTTGTATCAGGGTACTTACCTCAGATTGCATCGAAATGGACTTAAGGATTAGGTAGTTTTAAGCAAAGACAACTTGGCTTAAGGACAATAATCTGTAATTTTTAAGCAATAGCCACCACTAGATATTAATGTTTTTTGAGTGGTATAAACCAATGTTATATGTATAGTACTTATGACACCTAGTTGTCCACCTCGAGTAATTAACTCTGTAGTTTGGGAAACTGTTTGTAAGGCGAAATCACACCAAAATCCTGTAAAAAATTATTTCATTTATTTGAATTTTGCAATTTTATAGGACTGGGATATATTGCCATTGGGTTGTGGAGGGGAAACCCCGCAAATATAGGCATCAAATGACACATTTTCAAAGGTATAAATCTCTTGGTATAGGGGTAGCAGTACAAATTTAATTTGGCAGAAGCAAACTAAATGGTAAAAATTGCCCTACCATTGCCAGGTTACTCCATCTATAAATGAATATTCGTGGTCTTAAAGCCCTTTTACGTGTAAAATTATTTTGTCATTTTGGAATTATAACAGTAGAATTTAATGTAATCATCGTCTGTCAAATTCTACATTATTAATTAAAGGCATCATGAAGGGATAAAGCTGTAGTAACTAAAAAGACTTCGATAATTGTGGAGGTATTTTAAGCTTGGAACCAAAATTGATAGTCCTTTGATTATGCGCTTGTAGTTCTCCTGTAAAAATTCAAAGCGGTTGTAATCGGACTCATGTGGCTTGATACGAAATGCGCAACCAACTACTAGCTTCATTGATGAAATACTATTCTTATACGATTTAACCTTCAGGAGTGCACACTCGACTGACTCTCGCCGCCCTGCGCCCGTTATTAGCATACACAAGTACTAAAAGGAAATGTCATAGCCAAGTTTGTGGAAGAACGATCCAAGAATTGCCAAATTCCATTAGGTAAGTAAAGACAGAATGGCTGAAGAACTAAAGACAAGCGCATTTGCTGAGCGGTCGGCAAATATTTTTGACATCTGAGCCGTAGCCTGTTAGTTGTTATAATTTTCAGTAACACGTGAGCAATCAATGCATGTCTAGATTCACGTGAAAACAGATTTACGCACGGGTTCTTCTCCAAGAGGATCAAAAAAGCATGGGGATTATAATCAAAGTTTTTGAAGTAACAGAATGACTCTCTACAGTTTTCTTGCACTGTTAAGTTCAAAAATTAGGAGAGACCTAGCCTTTGAATTGGTGACAAAAATGAAAAATGTCCCATTTAAGTGCGTGATGAACATATTTCTTGTAGAGAGGGCCATTCGTCTTCTGTGTGGGGCGTGGTTTTGAGGTTTATTTTTTATTTGTTTGCGCTAGTATCGCAAATAAATAATTTTGATCGTAGCACCAACAAAAAATTAATTTCCCATATACTACATATTTTTTCCTACTACACAGGCTAAAGCTCTTCCCATATAATTTGGCGGTAAATGACAGTTTTAGGTAATCAAACATTTATACCACTGATTTAACCCGTCTTACTCTGTAAAAGTGAGGAGAGTTTGAGAACAATAATTATGCCTGCACCACTCACAGCCATCAAAGTTATGGGTGCACTATTGTATTGATACTGCATTTGTATGTGCATGTAAGTAGAATGCTGAGGCTTCTGCTTACCAGTGAGTCCCCTTCAGACTGCGATGGATTAGGCCCGGCCAGAGGATGATCGAAGAGGCTATTGTAAGTTCAGTTTCAAATTTGAATGAAGAATCTAACGACCTTCTCTGATTTTCTCTAAGCAGTGTAAATGTCTTTCTGAGCATTGATGCTATCAGTGGGAACAGTCAGTGTAAGAGTGGGTAGAATAAGATCACACCCATATGCAGCTCAACTCACGGCATTGAAAGGGCAGGTGCATGAGCACACAAAGTCGCCCCAGAGACATTTAAATCTATCTGTATGTGGCACATACATACTTTCCAATGGAAAAACCACATAAAACTAAGGAAAAGATATTTAGGCGACTAAGGCAGAGCAAATGGATTACGGTAGGCTCAATTTCAGTGAAAAAAGCAGTGGAATTATGAACTGATACAAAATTCTTCAAATTAGTTTTTTGAGCAAAATTCTGCAAGAAGTTGAGCAATAATGTGCCCCTGTGAGTCAAAATGGCGAAATCAGCATGAATAAGTAGGTAAAATACAAACGGAACAGAAGAGAAGAAGGCGTGCAGCCTACGTAACATAAAAACATTCAGACAAATGGGTCGCATTCACAGGAAACAAATTGCATTTGTGCTAGAAGGAAGAGTCGTAGTTGTGGTACTTTTTAGGTACATTTTTATAATGCTAAAACCGAAAAATATACGCAGTAACCACAGTCCATCATTTCAGTGAATTAAACGAACGCAAAATAATTTTTGTAAATCTTGGTGTTAATTCACCAAGAAGATTAGTAAATCACTGCTACCATAAACAAATCAGCTGTAGGGATGGAAATCACTTCCTACAACTTCTGCGCCTAGATCTGATTGGGGAACTTAGGAGTATATTTAAGAAAATAATAAATTAAACAAAATGAATAAATTTGACAATTGTCTGACATTCACACGACAATCTTTATATGATGCGAAAGTGGTGCTGTCGCAAGGTGCTCTGATGCCTTTTCAACGAGTGGTGCTGGTTAATTTTTTTTAAAGACAGCCCACCACCAAAAAACCTGACTGTGTAAGGACCGTAACAATAAGTTACAACCAAATTGTGTAATCTGAGTCACATTAAAGTAGGTCAGTGGGAGAATGTCAGACTGGGAGAGGCGGAGGTAACAGGTAAAAATGATTTAGACCATTTTACCTTTAGTGATAACTTCATGGTGCCAGTGAAATTAAGAAGATACGCGCAAGCATCTTCGCCTCGAAAATCATCTTGGTTGTAACGAATTTAGTGAAACATTTTTACCACTAAGCTGCAAATATTGGGGCATCTTGACGTCTACACATATTCCAATATTGAATGAAAGCAGATACAATTACATGCTCAAAAATTGAGTTCAATAAACGTAAAACTCTTCTTCAATTTGTATGTAAGGTACATATTAACAGGGCTTCATGCAGTGGTGTAACATTTCTTGAAACATTTAAAGCAATCAAATGAAGGCAACCCGTTCTTTGCCTCAGTTCTTTGAAGATGTTTTGTGGTTAGGCCAAAGTGCTCAGTCGAACTTCAAGATTTTTTAGGTTCTGCGAAGGCGCCTTTTTACTCACATCAAGTTAGATGACGATTAGGATCCTCCAGTACGTTTGCCTCAAACCACATTAAAATTCTATAAGTTTTTTTTGAATTCAGATATAATTGTGAATGACAGCATCACAGCTTCCTTTGAAACTAAGGAAAAGATGTCGGCAATACATATTTTACTCTAGTATTATGCCTTCTTTTGTCCTCAAAAAGTCTCAGGGTGCTACTTTGGTAGCAACGTAAATTAAATCCCATCCTAAAGGACAAATGTTGGTTTCTGCTGCTGGGTGACAAACCTTAGCTGGACAGAATAAGTACATGCACTGTGAATGGAAGAATTGTTGACGATCCATAGCAGAAGGGATGAATATGATGTCCACCTTCAGCAACTGCCTCAGTGCCATGGTCCGGAGGAAAGCCATTAATAACTGAAGCGACACTATCCTTAAACCGTCTGAAAAAGTTCTTGACGGAGCTGTCTACTACACCTGTATTAGCTGGATAAAGCCCAGGAAGATAAGGCTGGGGAGCACTAAAGTGAGGACAAAGTGGCAAGGAAGTAAAACACGCAAGAACATATCCTCACGAAAATATGTTAAACCCCCTCCTTTGTTATACGACTCTGCACTTAGGTCAGTGTTCCCATGACTAGCTATGGACACGCTTGATGGCCAGCACTTTTCCATACAGAGTGAAACTCCAGATCCAGTAGGTTTGTTAAGAGAAACTAGTGACGCTACTGTCAAGTATCTTTTCAAGTGCATGGAATTTCGATAATAGGGGTGGTTGGCTCGTGGGTGCTTCCCCTACAGCATCAACTACGTTGTGATGGCTGATGCGGGAGGTTGACCAAGGGGACCTTTGAGGACGACATTCAAAAGAAGAGAGGAGCTATGTGATATACTAGCTATTTGTTTAACCCTCGATTTTGCTAGAGGGAAAACTTTGGGTCTCTGCTATTGTACTCCCGCCAGGTAGACTGGCCTCTGGACCATGACAGTAGCAGTACGTCGACAATACATATTCTGGCGGAGTTTTGTTTTCCTTCGTCTTCAGTGAAGTCTCAAAGCACTATAATCGGTTCAGTTAAAAAAGGAAAAAAATGCGAATTTTTTAATAAATGGAGCGTTTTATCAAAGTAGGATATTTAGGCAAGAGTTATATTTAAATGAAAGAGAGTGATTTACCTAGGTCCTGCTTAAATGTAGCTTTCAAGTGTAACAGTTACTATGTAGTGTCCAATGACAAAAATGAAACCAAAACAAATGTAGCGCAAAATTCGCAGTTGAAAGCAGCTTAAAATAAGTTCCAATTGTGAGAATCCAAAGACAAAAATCAAAGCAGATACATTGGTTACAATGCTTTCACCAAAGGAGCAAGCAAGGGTGATTGTGCAGGCGAATTTAAGTAAGCTTTGAATGTTCCTTTCCATCACTTGAACGGGGAATAATAGCAGAATTATCACTGGGTGTTAGTTTATTCTCCTGCCAACACTTGTAGTAATCCGGAAACACCTTGCTCTTCTGCTAAAGTGATCAACACATAGATCAGCAGTCATTTTCACCTTGAATGTATTAACTATCACGGCACAACTTACAGGCAAATCCCATATGAACTCATCGGGTCCCACTGAGGAGGCTCGGGCTGGGGAAAAAGCACACGTATTTAAATATAATTAGAATCAGCACAAAAGCTGATTCATTGTGCATGAACGTAAAATGCTTCATTTGTTATCGAGAGAGGAGGTGGAATATTTCAGCCCTGATGTAGACTTAACCTTTTGCATCACTGGCACACCAAAACATTGCCCGGCATGACGTACATCTATGAAGCCACGCGGCATGAGTGTGAACGAGATTTTAATGTCACTTAGCAAGAAAAGTTTGCTGATGGTATTCACAGGAATTAGACGTGACTCAAGGTAAGTGATCGTCATCGTATTCGGTAACAACTGCTCCACCGTAATCCTCTGTGATGGAGCGAAATGAGGCAGTACACTCACACAACGATAACTCTGCACAATGTGCAGACTTCTGTTTAAGTTGCCACAATCTCTTCACCAAATTTTTAACTACGAATTGTCTTGCCCTACGACTGAAAGATCGAGCTCTTGATGTTTATTTTACTAATTAAATTGTAATTAAGCGGCCTGATTTGTGTGCATTCAAGCGAATTAGTACATAATCAAATGCCTCTATCTTCATAAGGCTACCTATTTCATCTTAGCAAGCATTTCGATGGGTCCAAGTTATATGCATCAATCATAATTCCCATCCACTATTGTAATGCTTCTATCCACCCAGAATTTGTGATAAGCCAATTCTTTCCCCCTCCCTAAAATAGGCGTCAAGCATCGTTCATGTGGGCTCGCGAAATTAATAAAACTGCCTCGCAGAAATGGATTACTTATAAGCATTTCCTCATTCCGCAGCACAAATCGCTACACTGTTTAGTTGCCTTGCATTGAACATTTTAAATTACTCATTAAAGATGCAACAACGACTGATATTGAAAAGCTGTGAAAGCGAAGTGAGCCAGCTCTGGGAAGAGAGGAGAGGGGTCTGATGGCCCACCGTCTTTAGCGGTGTAGCATCCAAATCACGGAACGCTTCTGTTGATGGCCGTCTTTATAACCTGAGTATGCATGACTCCGGGGCAACGGCCGTGTTGACTCAAGCTAGACGGGAGGGTATATTTTAAAGGGAAAGACCTATGGAAAGTATCCAGCCTTGTTTTTGAAGTATAAAGCGTAAATGTATCTCAAGCCAACTATTAGTGTGGCAGTTACTGGCACTCCTGGGTGGATTGTCGGCTTTTTTTACTTTAAATACCTTCTGAATGGAAACTGAGATTTTGAATGTATCATCTCGCTGTGAAAATAAGTGATATATACTAATGTGGTTTGGATAGAATAGGTGCAAGAATAAATGCCAGATCAGACAAGTGCGCTTCTTTAAGAGATTTAAAGCATTCGGCTTATTGATACAGGAGTAATCTTTTTTTTTTGATCAAACAACCTGCGCTGAGTTGCAAAAGCATGGAAACCTTTGTTACAACAAGGATTAAAATCACAGTTTAAAATACTTTACAACCTTGTTTACTTCAGTCAGTGAGTGTGCAATGTTAAAAAATTCCGTAAGAATTTAAATAATGCCTATACTTAGTTGATTTTTCTACTTCTAGCAGGCAAGTACAGTGGTCTTCCACAAATGGTAAACATGTCAGTTGAAAATACCTAAAATCAAAAGATTTTTATAAATTTTCTAACCCTCTTCTTAATGATTTTGACGTGAGCACATGCCTAGGGGGAGATGTGCCCTGCAGAGCTGACCGATACCAAATCTGGAATGGCCATGTGTGAATATGCATAATGTTCGAGCATAGTGATACCCAGCATTTTTGCCTGCAACCGCTTAAAATATTACTCCCTCCACGGTTTTCGTTAACCAGCTAAAAGTGGTAATTAAATTATTTTAGTACCTTCTTTAAACACGATTGTCAGGCTTGAATCAACCGGGAAGGCCGACTCTTGTGCTGAACTGCAAGCACATACAAAGCGCATGCTTTTACATTCATCTTAAGGTCATTTCGTGCCTCTCTTTAAGTCAAAAGTTACTGATGTACCCAAATAGTGGGTGAAAATTTAGTGTTCCCACCCACACTACTTCCATAGATTTCTTTTGCATTGTAAATTGTATTTACCTCTTACAAAATGAGAGAGCATCTGTGGACACTTCATTTTTTTGCATGTATAGGCCGTCATTAAGCTTCATTCCTTCAAACTGTTGCCCAGTACTTTTTAATAATCTTTACATTGAGGCGTAGATTTTAATCTCCCTTGAGCAAGCTGATTGAGATTTTAGCTGAATTTTTATCCCTCTCTTTTGCACTTAACAGCCAAACGTTTGAAGATCTGTGCATTTTTTGGATGGTTTTGAACCCAAGTGTATTTCACACCGCGACAAATTCATCACCTTTTAACTTAAGCTGTGGTAAAAGCGGTGGGAATAATTACCTGAATAGCATCACCGTCCATATTACTAAGATATGATGGTATGTACCATGGTGTGCAACCGAGGAATCAAATGTGCTACCCAAATATGCCTGTTTGAATATAGCTGAGCTGACTGAAATATTTCGAACTTTGAAATCCAACAGTGCCTTATTCAGGATCCTGTCCAAGTAGTAGAAGCAAAGCAACAAATAAGAATAGATATAAATTCACCTTTCAGGACTGACATAGATTTGAGCCTAAGCATTTGATAAGAAATAAATGCAATTATTTTCTTTTTCGACAAGGAGGCATGACCCAATTTTGGCAATACAACGAACTTCTATTCACCTACGACACACATATAGAGAGAGAGGAGAGAGGGAGGCAGTTTCGACGACGCCTCTATCCACGACCAGTTAGCACGTATCACCACCAGCATAATTCTTATTGTCATAAACAAGGCTGACGATCGCCTCTAAGAAATGCTAGTCATAATAGCTTAGATCAGCAACTACTTCAAAAAAATGCGCAAATCCTGATCTGCGCGTAGGCAGATGGTTAAAATCTTGATAAATTTGGAACCAGGTAGAATGCCTATTTGTTACTCCTTAGCAGGATGTTTAATTAGACTAAACACAAGTTTTGATGAAAATCCACCGCAGTGATCATATTTGGGGACAAAGCTTACCTAACGTCTAAAATATGTCGACTGTGAAAAATATCACAGAGGTCATTTCATGTATTGGCCCCACCTTAATGGAGCGTATTGTTAAGTGAAACAAACATTAGTTCGTGTGTTTCTGGAAGTTTCAGCAATTTCCGATAGATTTTACCATAGACTTTATACTGTTTAAGCCACCGCCCTGCACAATACGTGATCAAAAATAGTTTCCGTCAAGTACTAAAGGGCCCCATAAATTATTTCAAACAATTATAAAGTTTCCATCGAGTGGAAGATAAGTAGCAAATCATCGTCTAAGTTCAAAGCATGATGACGTGGTTCTAATGGGTTTGAAAGCTGCAAATCATTTCGTTTGTATTCAGCACGTGCCAGATTGCACCTAAAAGGCACTGATGGTGAAATTGACCCTACACTGTTTGATCACTGCGGATCAATTTTTCATCTGTTGGTGTGATCGAAAGGCAAACAGGACACGAGCCTTCTACACACGTTATGAGTCCAACCGTTAAATCAGGTGTAGGCCAAAGCGCCAAAGTGACATTGATGCATAAAACCAACAAGCGATTATGACAAAAATCTTATATTCTAACTCACATAAGTCTAAGACAATGGATAGTCGGGAAATATAACAATAGGCAATATATTTTTTCGTAAAACAAAATTGGTCTCCCACCAAACAATAATGAGTCTAAACAATAATGTATTCAGGCTGCAAGGAATATGGCAATTCTCACCTATGACAAAAGTGTTCGTAAGCCCTAATTATTCGCACATCTTAAAATCTCAACTACGACTTTTTTGTTTCAAATCCCATTTTCTTGTTCAAACTTTTGTGACATGCAATTGCATTCAGCATTGCCTTCAAAATTAAACTTCTCCCGTTATTTGGTTACATTTATTAGGAAAAATTGGTATCCATTACCTCTTTTTTTTGCGTTGGAATCAAAAATTCTACGCGTACGTGAGCCCAAGGTCGTGTTACCCAAAGCCATCCAATTACCTTGCGGTTAGGTGACATCCAATCAACACACCAATTATATAATAAGCTCAAATGCATGCTCTTGCTCAACAGGAGAATGGCATCTGACATGGAACATCAGTCCCAGCCACAGCCTCGTTGCTGCTCAACACTCTACACCATAATTGACGTTCGTCAAAGGCATTTCTGCGCGGGTGGAGTGATCCTCTGCCTCGCCATTGGAATCATAATTGCGGAATCTCAACAGCCAAGTCACTTCTATGCCGGCTACTGGATGGGCAGCATGGACATCTTTGCTGCCCTGGTAGCCTTCGTGTGTGCTGCTAAACCACATCGAATCACCTTTGCTACCGCAGCGTTCTTCAATGCAATTTGCGCAGTCCTCAATGGGGCGGGTAGCATCCATCTATTGGCCGGGAATTTAAATTATCTCTACACCGCCGGCTGGCTAGGGATTGTACAGATGGTCTTCCTTATTTACCACTGCCTCTCCTGTATTTACGATGCAAATGTCTGCTGCAGGTGGAAGGCATTGGATGAGATCGAATCCGCTTCCACTTCCGCAGCCACCGCCACCACCACGGAGGCCGATGGCAGCGGCCAAATTGCGGGTACCGCCGCTACCACCAACCGCGATGGAGGGCAGAGACAGGACAGACGCAGGCGACGGACGCAGTCTCCGCCCATCGACTTCCGACTGCCCGATGAGGTGCCCAAACTGCCACGCTACGATGAACTCAGTAAGTCGGAGGGCCTGCCGCCCGGTTATGACAGCTTCAGGATCAATTCGTCCGCATTTAGCTCCTCGAGATCAGTTCAGTGACCTCAATGCTGCTATGGGAATGCGCCCTTTTTACCCAGCCACAAACTGCCAGCATTTACTGTGTAGATTGTACTTACTTTTACTAATTTTTCCACTTTGAAATATTATTTATTTAATTTGAAATTGGTGAGTTTTCTTCGAAGAGATCTTCAAGTGTCGTCATGCGTCTCTTACCACTGTCCTCGTCCGTGTCTCTGCCTCCCTTCTGGCATTTGTCACCGTTGCTTAAAAATATACGGATACGATTCACTCTGATTAGGCCCAAGATTCACTTGCGCGGACTTCGATGCCACCCTTTCCAAAAGAGATTATGGCATTTCAAAGTATTTTTATGTAAAATAAGCATCTCCACTCCCTGTAACCCTTTTGCAATAAGTTGATCGGTGACTACCCTTAAAAATTTCCTGAATGCATATGGGAAAGCAAGTTGAAAAGCCTTCCTTTACCTAATGGTGTTCATCGATTCTTCGTCGACTGCAAGTGTAAGATATGGGAGAGAAATCACCATAAGGTGAATAACAACGTGACAGCAGGTGACACTGTGAATACTAAAGACTTGAAAGAGCATAAATATCCATGCAAAACCGAATCACTTAAAGTTTTCAAGTGGGTGAGCAAGGTTTACTTCAATAATTAAAGGATTTCTCTTTAATCGAATTCGAATACTCACCGGATATTTTAAAAGTTATTTAATTTGCTCCTTCATCGACACGTGAAAGCTAATAATTTGGCATTTCATGGAGAATGCAAGAATTTATAAGTCCGTAGTTGGGATACATAGCTCTCATCAGTAAATTTTTTTGCTAAAATCATTTCCACCTTTGAGTGTAGTGTAGCGCCCCTGGACTGCGTTGGGGACAAAAGAAGTCTAGCACATCTCACAAACTAATGGAGGTGTCATGCGGTGAGTTTACAGTGCCCATCCCTTCTTTTGAGCGTCGTCCGCAGCGCTCCCCTTGGTCAACCCTTCATGTTGGCCATCACAACGTAATCCGTGCTGTAAGAAAAACACCCACAAGCCAACCGTCCCAATCACCGAATTCCCATGCAACTTAGGCGATACTTGAGCGCACTGGGTCTGAGTGTTCTCCTTTTTGGGAACTAAATTCGGGGACGAGGAAATGCGCACACTACCACCCGTGTCCATGGCTAGTCATAGGAACACTGGGCTAAGAGCAGAGTCATATAACAAGGGACAGGATCTGACACAATTTCGTAAGGGTATGGTTCTACACCTATTTCTCCTTGACTAGTTGTTCTTACTTTGAAGCTGCCCAGCCATAACTATATAAATATCTTCTTGCAGACAGTTCTCGGCTAGTGGTGCTTCAATTATAACCAGCACTCCTGTAAAACACGGGACTGGAGTAGTTGCCGAAAGCAGACATCATTTTCAGGTCCTCTATTAAAGGTTGTCTCCAATTCTCTTATTCACAGCACATGTACTTCCACCACTTTAAGAATTATCGCCTTGCAGTAGAAATCTGGATATTTGTTCTTTAGGATCAGGTTCGCTTTCCGCTGCTACTAATGTAGCGCTCTGGAACCTTGTTGAAGAAGAAAGAAGGCACAGTACTCGGGTAGACTATGCATTGTTGACGAACATGACCTAAGGCTACTAAAATGTCCCTTGGGTAGACCGCCTGGTGAAAGTACAATAGTAGGACCCCGAAGTAGCCCTTTGTCAAAGCCGAAAATTAGACATGCAACTCAGGTATCATCATACCGTATTTGAATAATTGGTTTTGTTGAGTATTTGCAACTGAATTCAGGCCTACTGATGTGGAATTACCTCGATAAGAGCTAACTTGATCGACTTGATCATTGAAATGCTCCCTCTATAACATCAAATGCAAAGGTTAAGTTATTCTGTAAATCTCATGCCATACCTACAGTTAACTTTAGCTCGAATCAAGTCTTTGCTTACTTTCGGTATTTCTTTATCAAATATCATGACTCGCTCACCAAACGCGTGATGTGTCACTTTTATCTTTTTCCGTTGAATTCGAACGATTGACAATTAAAAGTGATTTGTTGTTAAAAAAAAAAATAAAAAGACTTAAAACAACTAATTGTTTTTGAACCAGATTAAAAAATTATATGTACAATTGTGTTAAAAAGTTATGTTGAGTGGTCTCCAGAATCGCGGGGACATAATGGACAAATTGAGTTAAATCTAGGCACCTTGTGAGAAAAAGTTGGTAGTTCTCTCGGTTGTCATTCATACCACGTACACCTGTACACCGTCAACAGGACTCTGTCCTGACCCCTTTACAGATCACAGTGCATCACTCCTTGTCGTTGAGCTGGAGAGTGTGAAAGGTATGTTCTATCACGTGCGATGCTCGTGCTTCAAGATGGCAGAGGTGGCTTTACTCGTGCTTTCCGCGTGTGATCGTGACAAGCGCATGCATTGCCAAGTCCCCGTTTCGTGCCACGACGAGATCAAACAAAGACAATAGGGAATCGGCAATTTTCACCAACTTTAAGAATTCGAGATACATGCTTTCGAACCCACTCCTTGCAACTGCTACTTGGCGACACTGAAAGGTGAACTCACGGCCCTTGTATGGACCAACAAAAACCAATTACTTGCAATGGGCGTTTCAAACTCGGTGTTACTAGATATGAATGATGATACTTCGTGCAATCATTTCGTTTGAAGTGTATTGCGACAGTAAATCCGAACCTGAAGAATACCTTTTTAAAGAAATTTCTTTAAGAAATTATCAGAGCAAAATGACTTTACTAATGCATTCACGCAGGACTAGGAAAGAAACTTTAAAAATGCATTATAAAGGCAAATGTGCGTCTCCATTTAATTCCAACGATCTAGTCATTTCATACTATATGCATCCTTGAGGAACATAATGAAAATCAGCCCCCCCTTCTAGTGAGAATTTGAGAATACCGTATCAGTTCTTTGCCTCTATTCATTTATGTGGCATTACCTAAATTAATCTGAAATAATAGGAAATTAAACAAAAGCCTTGATAGACTACAAAAGCAAGGGGAATCGTCACATCACTTTCTCAAACTTGAAAAAAAATTCAAGCAAGCACTTAGGGGAATCGTATTTGTTTATCGTGAGATTACAGGCATTTTGGGTTACAGGGGCCCTTCTTTTGAAAAATTACAGAGCTAAACGAGCCTCTGTCTGCCTGGATCAACCATGTGTGGGATTTCTCTGGCCAATTTTTTTATCGTTTGTAGGCAAAATGATAGTTGGATAGATGAATTTTCGGTCGAAATGCAATTTGTACAAAGAATATAATCAGTAAGTAGTGCAGGGGGAAAAAATTTTCCACAAATTGGCTCAGATGCAGCCTTGAGGATCTCAAAATTGAAATCACAATGCATGGGTCGAAAAAAGGGGACAAAATTACAAAATTTTACGTCCCCTAAGATGAGATTCAATTGTAATACCATCTTGACAATAACACGCTAGAAATTTAAAGTTCCCTTCATTGCTCCGACAACAACACAACATCCCTACCGCATTGAACCCTGGTTTAGTGGATGCGCTAAATACATTCCAACGGATCACAGACATACAAAACAATTTCACAATTATATGGAATGTTAATATTCCGCAGAACACTTTGATTTGTTACATTAAGCAAAAATGTACCAACAGTGCCTTCATCGCATATGAATGGCTTGACAAGTCCAAAGTTACTACAATGATAAAATACAAATGAAAAGTACGGGCCAAGGGAACCAAGGCGGCAACTACACATGTTGGTATGCAGACTTTAATAGAGGCAAAATTGGAAACCTCAGACACACATAAACTGTTCAATATTTAAACTACCTAATTTCCCGTTTCGACAACAGACCAGTGGTTTTTTGCTTGAACACTCGAGCGGGATTTCTGCATCCCTGGGATTGCGTTTTTACGAGA